TGATGCATATTCAACACTCGTGTGTGTGTGTGTGTGTGTGTGTGTGTGTGTGTGTGTGTGTGTGTGTTAAACACAGTCTGCTCTATAAAAACACTTATTCATCACGGCTCATGCTATGTGTTCTGAAGAACTACAGCTGAGTTGAAATTCAGAAGCCCAGACTGCGATTAACAGTCTCCACGGCAGACAGGCATATATATATATATAGTAATTTTGTATATAAATTGTAATATGTATTTTATATTTTACTTTAGTACAGTCAAAAGTAATGTATATTAATATATTAGTAATGAATCACCACTGAGAATAATGAGAATTACAAAAAAGTAAAAGATCTGGACAAATTACAGAAATTTTATGGGAAAAATGTGCTCATATGAAATGAAAACAAGGCAATAATAACCCCCCCCAAAAAATCTTAACTGACCTTTTATTTATGCAAAATATAATTTCCTTTGATTTCTTTTGATTTTGATTGGGGTGAAATGTTTTTTGTTTTATTTTTTAAAGAATTGAATATGTAAAGGTTAGTGATTTAGCTTTTTTCTTTTGGTAAAAAAAAACTGAATGTGTCACCTTTGTCACTTCCATTCTGCAATTATATTTCCAGTTATTGTTTTTTATTTCTCTGCTATGTAAATCCTGGCGGCCGGTGTGAAGTTGAATCCAGATGCTCTTCTGAAGGCAAATGCTTTCTCTCCTCAAATGAGATTAGTTTTGTGAAGCTCGGCCGGGACGGTCAGAGATGACGGCTGCCGCTTATCGGATTCAGAAAATTCATTTCATACCAGATCCTGCAGCGGATGATGATTGTGTTTGTTTGTTTTCAGAAACACCTGCTGCTGTCTGGACAAAACAGACAGAAAACATCAGGAAACACTTGTAGTGATGGACCTCTGTCCGCTTGAGTTTCATGCTTTAAGGCAGATCTTGTGACGTCATTTTTTTCTGATTTTGGGATATTAAATACGGCAAATTAAATTTAAACTTGACGCTTATATCATCATAGTTTTAAAGTCTGAAGTCTCAGTTAAAGATTGAAAGTAACAAGTAAAAAATTAACATTGAAACATAAAAGACATTTAAAAAGAAGCAAATAAAAATGACAAAGGCATGAAGGTACAAAGTGCCTAAAACTGTTTTAATGTGACCTTTATATAAAGCTACAATCTGTTATTTGTATTAAAACTCCACCACTGGGACACAACATTATTATATTTAATTAAAACTAAGAAAAAGAAAAATACGTTTTTGTTATTTGTAATAAAATATTTATAATTGTGAATAAATAAAAATATTAAAAAAAACAAACTTATTTTATTTCAGCTAGTTGCCAAGTTTTCATTGAGTTTAACTTGATTTACTAAAATAACTGAAACTGAAATCAATCGAATAAACACTATGTAGACATATTTAAAAAAGAAAAAAAAGAAGAAAAAAAAAAAAAAAAAATGACCAAAACTTTATCTAAAAGTAAAATGAAAGCTGAAAAATATAAAATAAAAAATATTTGTTACTTGACATAAATATAAAAAACACAAACTTATTTTATTTAATCTGTTAGCCATAGACATTTTTCATTTTCATTTAGATTATCTTACTAAATATTTACTAAAATAACTAAAAGTAAAATTAAAATTAAAATGAATGAAAAATAGACATATTTACATCAAAACTAAAACTGACAAAAAACAACAAACTTAAATTAAAATGAAAACTGAAAATATATACATTTAAAAAATGTATACTTAATAATAAATAATTTACTTAATAAATAAATAACTTAAAAATAATGTTAAATCGAATAAAATTAATAGAAAAGAAAATATTTTAGTTTTATTTCAGCCGTCTGCCAAAGCAACATTATCTATTTTTAATTAGTTTAGCTTTATTTACTAAAATAACTAACACTAAAACTGAAATAAAAATGTATAATAACTATATAGATATGTTTATAAAAAAACAACAAACTGATAAAAAACTAAAACTTTAGCTAAAATTAAAACTGAAAATTCAAAAATAACAATGAATGTAAAATAATAGCAGAAACTATAGTAGTATCTATTATATTAAATAGATTTGTAGATGTGTTTGAGACAGTTTCTGCAAGTCTTCAGAGCATCTGATATCTATTAAACCTTCCGGGTGTGTGTGTGTGTGTCTTTGTGTGTGTGTGTGTGTGTGTGTGTGTGTGTTTTCATTAGTATCAGTGCATAAAGTGTGTTTCTAGCACATTATTTTATGTCTGAATACACACCTTGTTTAATGTTGTCATGATATCAAAACTTCATCAATAGCAATGACATTTGACCTTAGTTTAGACACATGCTACTGAACACACACCTTTATCTTAATATTAATAAATTATATTTTAAACATAGCATGTGCATTAGCCTTAAAGCAGTTTTCTGTGATATCTTGTTTTTTCTTTCTTTTTTTCCTGCAAAAATGTTTCCAGTGTTTTTTTTTTTTTAATGATTAAAAAAATCCAAATATTTTGTTTATGCATCAACTTAAAATCAAAGCCACAGTAACTTGGACAAAATATGTCTAATATCAACATACTGACTTGCTTTAAAAGTATTTTTAGGTTCATAGAATATTGAAATTTTTTTTGCATTTATAATAACTGAGAGTAAATATGGATTAAATGTAACACTTATAACACCTTGTCCTAATTTTCATAAAATTTTCTGTGATTTTACATAACTTTTATTATTTTTATTTAAAAAAATATTTTATCATCACATATACACATCCATTTACTTAATTTTTATAAATGATGTTTCATGGACTTCTGGTTTAGTTTTTTAGGTTAGTTTTTATTTGACTGTTTAATTTATTTTCTGTTGTTAGACTTACTGTGTTTTTGATATATGTTCAGCATTTTTATATATAGCGAGTTGTATTGTGTGTTTTATTATGTTAAGTGCCTTGAGAAGCTAAATACAGTTTATTATTATTATTATTATTATTTTAATCAAATCTCCAGAGATAAAAATCTTAATTACTTTTCTTATGGAATTGTGAGATAAAAATTCTGAATTCTAACAATGTCAGAATTGTCAGATAAATTCACATTTGTGAGAAAAAAAGTCGCAATTCCTTTTTTTTTATTACATGGAATAAAACAAACTGAAGCAAACAGAACAAACTCTGTGGAAACAAACAAACAAATAAAAAAATAAAAAAATAAATAAATTGCATGATTCAAACTCAGAATTCAACAAAAGAAAAAGTCAGAATTGCAAGCTATAAATGCAAAATTCAGAAAAAAAATTCAATTATAAAATATATAAACTTGCAATTGCGGGGGGAAAAAAAGTGAGATAAAAAGTCACAATTACAGTTTTTCTATTCTGTGGCATGAATCGAGATTTAAATTCAGAATTTAGAGAAAAAGTCAGAATTGCGAAATATAAACTCTGAATTCTGAGATATAAAATGTAGAAATGCAAGATAAAAACTTGCAATTCTGAGGGGAAAAAGGCTTTTGAATTTTGAGATAAAAAGTCTTTACGTTTTACCAAATTCCCTTTTTTATATTTATTCCATGGCAGACACAATAAACTGAACTACGAGATACAATCTGTGAGAATTGAGATATAAACTCTCAGTTGTAACAACAACAACAAAAAAGTTGATTTGTGAGCGAAAGCCAGAATTACGTTTAAAAAAAAAAGTTATTCAGTGGTGGAAACAAGCTTCCATTGAATAATGTCTGTGAATGGAGGTCCTGTCAGAAGTGAAATGAACTGACCATGATGCTTTTCCTTAAGACGTGCTTTCAGAGAATATACCTTAAGTTACATGAGTGTGTGTGTGTGTGTGTTCAGGGCGCGTCCTCTAGTCTGGTGGTGAAGTTTGCAGACACCGATAAGGAACGGAGCCTGCGCCGGATGCACCAGATGGCTGGACAGCTCGGCATCTTCAGTCCCA